TGTGTGTGTGTGTGTGTGTGTGTGTGTGTGTGTGTGTGTGTGTGTGTGTGTGTGTGTGGGGAGGGGGTTTGAGAAGATGGGACAGTTTCCAAAACCACGTACTGTTAACGGCGAATGCCGCCTTGCCTTTATCGGAGCATTTCTGCACTTTATTTTCCCGAGTCATCCAAGTCGCCTGGCATATGGTGCTGTCCTGAAGGGCCCCTTCTCCGGCAGCCATTCAGGCTCCTGAGTGTCAGAGTTTGTGTTAACGCCAATCCGGTTTGCGCTGCCTCCCGATGAACTCCTCACACATTTACTATCATCTTGTCTTTTCTGTGCCATAAAGAAATAATGCATGAAATACCTTGTTTTGTTGCCGCATCTTACCATGGATACACAGGCTTTCCTCGTACCGGGGACAGATAGGCAACCTCTGTTATTTGGCTTTGAAGCTTGCAGTCATCTGCCATGGGGGTCAGTGGGGGGTCCAGATTTCAGGAAAACATTTTGCTGCCGCAGGTCCCAGTCATTTAACTCGTTTGTCACACCATGCTCTAGGCTGTCTACGTTTCAGCTATAAGCAACTTAACCTTCTGTGTAAGTCTTCTCTGAAGTCTCGCTGGTTTAAAAGCAACAGGACAATGTTCGATTTTCTCATGTGGTGGCTTTAAATGAGTTCTTTCCTTTTTCTGTACTTCTACTGCTAACGTGCCAGGCAACCTCTGTAGAGCAAAGCTGCTGTTAAAAGTCACGTTTCTGAAGTGTGGTATGAATATTATAGGAATGAGAATGTAACTAAAGCTGACTGTGCACCTGGTTCATTCAGTCGGCATCAGAAATTAATGGGGGAAAGGGAAAAATTCCCCCAAAAATCTCAGAATGCCCCTAAAATCAGTTAGGGGTGTGGCTACGAATTGTTTGCTTACCTGTGGTTTGCCACCCACCCGTCCGCAACTGTCACAGTCTCCCAGGGCTGGGGGCTGCATAGAATTCTCACAATATAGTTACACATCATGTCCCTTTTTTGTGGGTGTCCTCAGGACGTCGCCCAGACGGCCACATCATGTCCCTTTTTTGTGGGTGTCCTCAGGACGTCGCCCAGATGGCCACATCATGTCCCTTTTTTGTGGGTGTCCTCAGGAGGTTGATAGGATAACCATCTTACTATGAAAAGTAAAGAAATCCTGCAAAAACAATTTATTATGACAGCTTGCAGGAATAGCGTTTAAATATGTAGAATTTTAATTAAATGTTTCATTGTCCAGAGGAGGATGTACTTTTAAAAAAAAAAAAACAGTTTCAAATCTGTGTTTAAATATTTGTTTTTTGTAAAAACAATACCATCTTTCTTTCAATTTGTAATTTACCATTTATTAAAATGTATAAAAAAAAAAAAAAATTTTTAAACTCATACATTTTAAAGGCCTTCGCAAAAAGTTCAGCCTGAATCTTCATCAGAATCAATAGCTTGATATTCTTCCAGACAGCGATAATATGAAGGCCAGCAAACGACACACAAAGGTTTAGTAACTCATCAATGCATAAATATATGTACAGTGCTGGTTTGGAGACGCCAAATGTGTTTACAGCAGCCTCTGGCATATATCAAGTGAAACACCCAGAGAGAGAGAACTGGTGCATGTGTGTGTGCGTGTGTGTGAGCGATATAACTTCTATCTTGTTAGGAACTCTGTCCAGTTGCGGTTCCTTGAGATTTATAACAATGACTTGCTGATTGGTTGACCACAAGCACCAGAAATTATGCAGAAGTACAGGGAACAGAGACACAAAATGGAGGGGAAAGAACAACACACTAAGGAAAGAGGCACAAACACTAGTTACTAGAGAAATGTAGCGATCAAAATGAAATTTGCCCAATTCTGCAAATTTTATCAGGACTGGGCCAGCATATAAATATTGATATGGCGATCTTGGAATTGGGTCGAAAACAGAATCAGTGGTATCGCCCATCCTTAGCAATAACCAGCCACTGTAAGTTAGTCTCCCAATGACATTTAAGGTTCTATTGTGAAGGGTTATCACTACAGATATGGGACCATACTCGGTAGTAGAAAACACTCAATTTTAGTTCATTATGATCATTGTGACCCAGTTGTATTTCTGGTTTTATATATATATTTTACATTTTCAATGTATTAATGAGCATCTTGTAAAGTTTGTCATTCAAACACGCCAACAGACACCTCGCCATATGTTTGGTTTATGTTTGCTATATTGTGTTAGTTTTAATAATAAACAGTTTAAAAGCAAATTCTTTTTCCGTGCTGTATTGAAAGTGCACCAAACTGTGAACCCAAGTATATACACTCATGTCTAAGTGTCCTTTTACTTTATAGAATCCAAAGTTTGCCCATAATTTGGATTTAAATAGAGATGACGCTAGAGGACTTTCTGCACACTCTTGCTCATTGGTAATGGCGCTGGGTCAGGGTCCGGCATATTAATCCTTTAACAAAATCGGACCCTCTGCAGCTGGGCAGATACATTAAAAGTAAGCAATGTGACCAACATAATTACAGTAACCTACATTTAAATTGATATTTAATGATCAATTTTCAACTCTCATGGTGATATAAAAAAAAACGCCACCTTGAAGAATCACTGCCTCATAATAATGAGAGGGTTAAAAATGCACAGTTTATCAGAAAACTACCCAAACAAAAAGTTGTTTGCAGTGGCTAATACTTTGCAAGCGGGTTCCACTCCATTTTCCTCTCTCCAGCAGTCATCTGTAGCTCGGAGAAACCTGCTGAATTGTCTCTGGTGTCTCTGGGCCTGACACTGGGCGGCCGCGGCTGTTTTCTTGCCTCCTGCCGTTTGCAGTCATTCCGGGCAGTTTAACATCTCAGCCTTTCTGTATGCTGCACGTACAACCAGGCTTGTGTTTCTGGTTTATCTCTCTGCTTTCTGCAACAAAGAAGCCATCGTGGTTTGTGGTTTAATCAGTCCTTTACCACAACCTTTTGAAACATGATGAAACCATTTAAAACCATAAAAACTTTTAGTTTCAAAACTAAAAGGACCCTGTACAGAATACATGACTTTGTTTAATATGTGAAGTGATGAAGTTGCATTAGAGAGTTTTCCTGAAAGCCAGCCTGAATTGCTTAAAGTCTAGCCTTCTTACTATTGACAGATTTTCAGTCAGGCTAGTTTAATGGAATTAATTGTGCATTAATTCTTCTACAGTTTATACTCTCAGGTGGTCATACTGCGGGCTCTGACTTCTTAATAATTTAGGTACCTGATTCTTTCTTTGTTTACTTATTGCAAAAAGTACAGTATCTGAATACTGAGAGTGAACATATAATATATGTTTAATGGGTGCTTTGCAAGAAGGAAATTTAATCTGGCCACTTGTGTTCTTGACATGGACGCGTGAGTCTGCTCGTATTCCTCTTGAAGCTGCTTGCGTTGAGTTTGTGTCATGGCTGAGTTAACCTGGATGCTTCTCCCGTGGACGAGCTGCTCTCATTGGCTGCCTGGCACTTTCTCCAGCTGTATCGCTCTCTCTCTCTCTCTCTCTTTTTTTACTTTGGGCTTCATTTGTTTTGTATTTATTTGGGTCTGACTTTTATTTATGTTTCCATTTTTTTTACTTTACATGATTTAAGAATAATTTGAATCACCTGTAAACCTAATATGACTATTCACCTACTTTCACTCTCCTGTTTGTGTGGGAACTTCGCCATCGTCGTCAGTGATGAACTTGCTGACCAGCTTAATATGGGTGGTTGGGGATGTGGCCCATTTTAAGTCTAAGTCACGATACTAAGTCTCGTGAGTCGGTGGCTTCCTTGTTTCCCGGACCTGGCTAACTGGGAACCGCAGCCCATAGCTGAGCTTCCTGTCCTCTGCCACACCGCCATCCTGACCCCAAACCCACCTCACCCCTTGTCAACTTGTTTTCATCAGGTTGTATTCCTTGTCTGCAGTCCTTGTCTGTATTCCTTGTCTGCGGGGGGGGGGGGTCGACTTACCCTTCAGGCAGAGCTTTGGTGAGCAGGGGGGCACCCTGATATGCGATCATCACAGCCAGGTGCCCCGTCCGTGCCCCTCCCCCCAAAATCTCCCTGAAATCTCCAGCTGTGTGTTCGTTACAGAGAGTATCGACAGAACCTCCTCATTCCATCTTCAATCCGCCTGTCCTGAGTCATTACATTTTCAATCTCTCTGTTTGCCAGCACTGCTCCTGAATGCGTTGTCTTTTTTTTCTTAAGACAGCTGGAAAGTTAGATTATCCCCTAATGATGTCCCTTTTTGTACCCCCCACACCCCCCCCCCCCTTTCCATTTTCCCCTGCCTTCACAGTAGGTAACCAGCTTGGAGGAATGGTGCATCAAAGGTAAGCAGGCTTGTCACTTTGCCTTGTATTGATAGGCTATAAGTAGGTATTGATTTAACAATCCCTTTGTGTGTGTGTGCGTGCGCTTGTGCGCGCGTGCGTGTGTGTGTGTGTGTGCGTGCGTGCCTGTGTGCGTGTGTGCAGCCCTCGGTTTACCGCCCGCGGTCTTGTGTATTGGTATGTAGGCTGACATTTCTTTAGTACCATGTTCTCATTTTACAGTGTACAAATGAACGAGAACACGTTCCTTAATATGCTCGGTGCCGCTCTCTCCTCATTTTTTCCATTCCTTCCAGGGCTATTATTACAGAAGACTTCAGAGTGCCTGATAAGATGGTGGGCTTCAGTAAGTATGCAGGATGTCCGTATGCAGGTTTGGGCACCACGGCCTGGGCTCTCTGGAAGGGCCAGGAGACGCAGGACCGCAGGCGTTACTGCAGCTGACAAGCGCATAGCTTACATTCGTTATGGATGTAAAAAACTGGCAGTAATTGCAGCCAATGGACAGCAGTCCTTGATTGAAAGGGGTAATTATGTGAGTTATGTGGCTTATTTATGTTACACCTGACATGGCTGCTACTTTTAGGGTTTAACACTTATAACATTTTAAAGAAAAAGAAAGTTAGTTGAGTGTTTGTGGATCCAAGGTAAGAGTGTCAGTGCTGCCCCCCCCTCCCCCGCCCTCTCCTTGCTTCCCATGTTATCTCCCCCCCCCCCAAGCCCTCTCCTCTCCATGCTGCCCATGTTACCTCCCCCCCGCCCTGCCCTACGACCCAGTTTCATATTGACAGGAACCACCACATATGTAGGAGTCTTAGGCTTTAATTTGACTGTTTTTAACTTTTTAAATTTTTATGAGGCACAATAGATTATCCAATATGGCTCATTCAGTTTTCACATTTGCCTGTTTCCTATTCATCCGCTTCCGTTCATAGGTCTATTTCAGCATTTACTACTGAGGTGGCCATTTCGTCTGAAGATTTTAATTAATTTTTAATTTGCCCTTGAAAATGTCATTCAGTTTGATTATTTCCCTTCTTTCAGTTATTGGCAGAGGAGGAGAGCAGATTACAAAAATTCAGCTGGAGTCCGGCTGCAAGATCCAGATTGCCTCAGGTACAAGCCCTGTGTTTTCTCCAGCTACACACAGTAAGACCTTTTTCAGAGAGAAAGACTGGAACTTTCCGGTGGGTGGGGCGGGGGAGGGGGGGTACTGTTTGTTATCCAAGGTCTCCCGTTGGCTTGAGCCACTTACATACCGATGTTGAGGACAAGGGAGCGCTCTCTCCATGTACTGCAGCTGCACTGTGGCCATGACTGGTTTGGTAAAATGCCGGTGTTTGTCCCGGCAGACAGCGGCGGCCTGTTGGAGAGGCCCTGTACTCTGACCGGCACCCCGGAGAGCATCGAGTGAGTGCCGCAGCTCCTGTGGTGAACCACGTCCAAAAGAGAAACTAACACATGCGACAAGCTAGAATAAAGCAAGTGCAAGAAATGCATGGGGGTTCTGTCCGTCATAGAGTGATAACCCTCACCATGCTCCCTCTCTCAGGCAGGCCAAGAGGCTGCTGGGTCAGATCGTGGAGCGCTGTCGCAATGGACCGTGCTTCCACGGCGAGATGGAGGGCAACAGCGCCATCCAGGAGATCCTCATCCCAGCCAGCAAAGTGGGCCTGGTCATTGGCAAGGGTGGAGACACCATCAAACAGCTGCAGGTGCAGGTCCAGCGCATGGCATGGCCCCTCTGTCATTATACTTCTTTGTGAAAGTCACTTAACGGCACAGCACCCGTAGTGAATATTTGTCCTGCTAGGCATGTTTCAGGGCAGGGTTACGTCAGTCTGTCTGTCCGATCTCTTCCAGGAAAGGACAGGAGTGAAGATGAACATGATCCAGGATGGACCCATGCCGACGGGCGCAGACAAGCCCCTGCGCATCACGGGGGATGCGTACAAGGTGCAGGTAAGTGGTTATGATGCACAGCGACATTCATGGGGGGGGGGCATGTGATTATCGGGTGAAAGTTCAAGGTTCTCAACTTCCTGTGCCTTTTAGGCTCAGACCACATTCTGTCGTATCGTTTCAAAGTTCACCTCAGCTCACCTGATATTTAAATGCCACCTTGTTTGTTATATCCTGAAGGAATAGGGTTATTTTTAAAATGAAAAATGTAAAAATTGCTTATGAGACCCGCTGGGTACATGTGTGTTGTTCTGCCCCTGTAGCAAGCTCGAGAGTTGGTGCTGGACATCATCCGGGAAAAGGACCAGGGAGACTTCCGATTAGGAAGGAATGACTTCGCATCTCGGCTGGGAACAAGCAGCTTGGACGTAAGGGCTTTTATTCTGATGCTGTCTGGGAGGCTTATGCAGTCGAATTTCTGGGTCATTCACACTCAGCTTTCCATGCCGGATCTCCATGTAGGTGTCTGTGCCGAGGTTTGCAGTTGGAATAGTCATCGGCAGGAACGGCGAGATGATCAAAAAGATCCAGAACGACGCTGGTGTGAGAATCCAGTTCAAACCAGGTGTGGAAACGATGTTAAATATACACACAACCTTTGGTCCCTGAGCACATGATTTTTCAGACACAGTATGTCTTCATTTACATGCACAGCAGTTTGTTTGGGTCCCAGATGGGACTTTCTGTGAGGTGCTGTCACTGACTTAGAGTAACAGATCTGTAGTAAGTTGAAGGTGATTTTGTGGTGGTGTGGTTGTTAGGTTTAACAAAATAGTTTATTCCCCCCCCAGCCACAATGACATTCCGTCAAACTGCTGGATGTAATGTCCCAATACAAAAAAAGGTTGCATGAATGTCTTTTTTAGCCAAACCAGACTGGAAAAATTCCACACATTTCTGTCCATAACTTGTGGTGTAATCTGGGCTCGTGCATACTCCTTAGAGTTTACAGAAAAATTAATATTTGCATTTATGTAGCAGATGCTTATACCTGCAAGTGAGGATAAGAGCAAGATCAGACCTGGGGTTAAGGGTCTTGATTATTTCTGAAGGCCCTTTATATATAGATCAAGACCCTTAATGATAATAATAAAAGTAAAATAAAAATAAAAGTTTTATAATTTGCAGTGTCTTCCTTATTAGTCTGTCTTTATGATGCTTCTTTCTGGGTAAAAGTCTTCACTCTCTCCATTTTTCACGTTTCTGTTCACTCATTCCAGCTGTGTTACAGGAGTTCTGCTCTCTTAAACCTTGATACAGCCTCTGCTGTTCACAGCTGCCCACTGTCAGCCTCTGTCTCACTATGCAGTGCTGCCTTCTGCTTCAGATGATTTTCACTGTGATCTCTACTGGCACCACTGGAGTTTATAAAGCCCTGTGATGTATCCAGTCCCTGGCCTGAGCTGTCCTTGTTGTCGGTTTACTGGGTTATACTCCCTGGATGCTCTTGGAGTGTGTGATCCGGTGCGTGATCCGGTGTGTGATCACGCTGTCCCGCCTGCCCCCTCACGCTAGATGACGGCATCAGCCCGGAACGCGTGGCGCAGGTGATGGGCCACCCCGAGCGCTGCCAGCACGCACTGCACCTCATCAACGAGCTGGTCCACACTGCGCAGGTACGGCCCGCGTACCTCCTGCCTTTTCTATGGAACCACTCACTGACACTGCGACATATATGCTATGGGGGGGGGGGGATGGTGCTCCTCTGCCCCCATTGCACAGTTGGAGCTGGTTCCTTTCCATATCCAACTCCTGGGCCCTGATTTTACTCCTTTGAGGTGGAGATGCTTGGAATGGTGGGGGTGGGGGGGGGGGCTGGATCCCCTCTTCAAAAGTCCATCACTGCCACTGGACTGATATCATCCCCCACCCAGCCAGAAGCCTGCACCTTGGAATGGAAAAAATGCTGCTTTGTTTGTTTTCTAGTGTGTAGGGAGACGGGGCCCGATTGTTGAAAAGCATCAGTTGTTCATGGGGACTCCTGCATGGCTTAGAGTCCCAAACACCACTAATGTTTATCAAACTGCTACAGTTTTTCATTGAAAGGAAAAGCATTGTTTTGTCTTCTGCCATTTTTCTGTATTTTTCAAAAATGGAAATGCAAAAATTCAACAGTTGGGCCTAGTCTTGCCAATGCATGTATATGGGAGTGTGTGCGTGCGTGTATGTGCAGGTGTGTGTGTGTGTGCAGGCAGGTGTGTGTGCAGGCGTNGGGGGGGGATGCTGCCTCAGACAGGTGGGATGGCGACAGTCTCTGCTTGTGCCCCCCCACCTGTCCCGTGGCCCCCCACGCTGCGGAGCGGCATCTGCTGCCGTGTCAGGGACCGTTGGGGTGGAACACTTCCCCTCGGAGCCGCCTTGGTCACATTCCTGTGCGTGATTGACGGTTGCTTTTAAAGGTATTAATTTGGGCTCTTTTAATTTAATGGTAATTTAGAAAAATTAGACATTTTAAAGTGCCAGCAATAAATCAACGTGACATGAGTCACTCAGGGTGGGATGATGGCAAGGAAAGTGGGGGGGGGTTCCGTTCTAAAATAATCATTCAAAGCGCAAGTTTTATGGGCTATTAAATTACATTTTTAGTTATTGCTAAATGGTAACAGGTAATGCTTGTTTACACTTACCTGTAAATAGGCACTGGAAATTTCTCATAGTATCAAAAGTAGTTGCAAAGTCAACTTGAAATAAATATTCTGTAGATTATGTGAGGAAAACGGCCATATTGTTTTTGTTATGTTCCCTGGGAAGTTTCTAAAACCACACATTCAGGCAGCCCTGTTTCAGAGTAATGCTATGCTGTGCTGTGCTGTGCTGTGCTGTGCTGTGCTGTGCTGTGCTGGTGCAGATAGCGAGTGACAGAGGCAGCAGCACAAAGTCTTCGCCTCAGCAGCCCCGGCTGGAGTCCACGCGTTCCTCTGGCTTGAGCAGAAAGGGGTTTCTTTCTGTAGATTACCAGGACACTGAAAAGCACCATTAATTCAGTGAAGTGTAAGGATTTCCCAGCCTGGGTTTGCACTGAGCATTTTGCTGCCTCCTCCAGCCTGAGTTACAAACATCCAGTACAAGTGTAAGATTGATGGTATTCAATTGTATGTGGTGCTGTGTGTGTGATTTTTTTTTACATGATATATAATAGACAGATGAGAAACTTCAGTTTATATTAAATGAGCCAAGTTAGATTTACCAAGATTTCCTGACGTGTATTTCTGGTAGTTTAGGAAGTCGGCCCGAACGGGAAGACTTGCAGTGCCATTATGGGGACATGTTTGCTGAAGTGTGTTATGTACACAGAATAAGCAAATGTAGTGTTTCCCGTTTCCTCTGCCTGTTAAGCCCGCATGGAGCTGTTCCTGTCCTTCCGCTTTTCCATTGTGTAACGCTTCTCATTGGTAAGGTTTCTCCGCTGAGTTTGATGTTACCAGAGAACGCAGAGGTCGATGAAGGATAATACTACAAATCAGCTAATGGAACAGGGTGTTGCTTTTTGTTATGGGTTGATAGTACCTGGTTAACACAGTTAGCAGCAGGGTGCTTCGAAGACCCTAAAGTCATCTTTACTGAGGGCTTATGAACAACACAGGTGGCCAGCATGTGAAGGGACTGGGCCGCTTTGTGTTGCTGTAGCTGGTATCGTCCTACGCTGGGATTGTCAGGGATGTCATATGAGACCCCTGACGGAGCTGACGCCTGCGTGAGGATCGTGGTGAAGTTTTTGTGGCATGTTTCTAACCGTGACTTCTGCGTTTGTCCTTCAAGGGACTGAACCTAAAGTCTCTTACTCTTGTGCCAAGATAGCTAGCCGTTACACGCCACAGTGCCCTGTCGGGTCTGCTGGTATTTTTAATGGACTTTGTTCCTTTTTCTGCAGAGATTAACAAATTCCCAATGTATTTAAGCTGTCGTTTTTGTTTTTTTTTTTTCTTCTCTCTCTTCCAGGAGCGCGACAGCTTCGGGGGTGTGGGGGGCTCCCGAGTAAGGGTCAGAGGTCATGGGGAGTGGAACATGGGGGCATCGGGGGGGCTGCAAGAAGTGACGTACACGATACCTGCTGACAAGTGCGGCCTTGTGATCGGCAAAGGTAGGTTTTATCCCGCTGAAAATGCCCCGCGTGGCTTTTAAAGGGCCCGGTTTGGCTTTTAAAGGGCCCGGTTTGGCTTTTAAAGGGCCCGGTTTGGCTTTTCATCGCCTTTGCCGCCCGCCTTTACTGCCCGGTGCAGATTCCTGTTTGCAGTCACGCATCGAGGAAGGGAACGCAGGCCCAGAGGGACAGTGAAGCCGCATTATTATGTTAATCTTTCATGCTAAGCAACAATTTTTTCATTATTTCTTGTAAAGGAAGTCGTATTAAGTTTTATAATGAGTCAGGATCACCTGGGTGGCCCCCTCACCCCCCCCCCCTCCTCTCATGTATATATATTGCTTCTAAAAGAAAGTGCCATTATGTCCCTTCCTAAAGGGCTTAATGAGGGGGATAATGTGTGTAAAGTAATGTGACATTAATTGTTAGAGGTTCATAATAACAGCCCTCAATCATGTGGAAGATTGCCTCTTGCTTTTAATAAGAGCAGCTTTCAAGCCAATGGAGTCGAATGAGGGAATGACAGAGTCAAATTAGCTTATTGGCTATTCATGTTCACTCTATTGCCTGCTATTTAAAAGTCATTGACCATTTAAAGATTGGCTGCCGGGAGCTGCGAGTGTGCGGGTTGCGGGTGGGGTGTTTGTGTTTGGGGGGGAGCTGCTTCCACCTATAATAAAAAATGATGCAATAGAAATGTCAAGTGCCTTCTGTGTGGGGGCGAGAGAGAGAGATAAACCCGGGTGCGAGGGCCCCATCTCCGCATTACCATAAGAAACGGGCCAATATGGATGGCGAAGTCAGCGGGTCTGGCTGCTGTCAGCCATGCCTTTTGGGCTGCGTGATTAATGTCTTTACGATGCCTCGCGCAGCCGGGCCACATCCCGGCCCTCTGTCAGGGCAGCCTGTGCCCCATCCCCGCCCCCCCCCAGCATCCCCGCCTTCCCAAACCCAGTCGCTCCCGGGGGCCCCTGTCGTCCCGCTACTCTCAGACTCTTATTTTTAGCAAAGAATAAAAGAAAAGTCCTGCAGGGTTGATTTCTATCTGAGACTGACCCGCGGTATATTGTACCCCACGCCCAGCCACCGCAGCAGCACTGGGTAAAAAAAGGGCACCATTTTTTTTAGGTCTGTCCCTTCCGTTTCATTTATTGTCAGTCTCGTTTTCCGTAGGCAGTCCTGGAATTCCCTGTGTCTCTGGCGCAGCTCGTATGTGGCCCATAAAGGCCATCTTTGGCAACCGTGGCCTCGGTGACCTTAATCGGGATATAAATAATTAGGGGGTGTTTTCAGGCATGCATGTGACCCCCAGTTTCACAGCTGTGCTCTGTGTCTTCGGTCTGCCCAATATTGACTACGGCGTACCTGCTTAACCACAACACAAGTCAGCTATTAGTCTTTATGCAATTTGCATCGCTTGTGAATGCCGATTGTGAATGCGTTGCCTCATTTTTGTTTCCCTTGCGATCGCGCTCTCGGCCCACTTTCTCTCCAGTTGAACCTCTTTGGCCCCCGTCTCCAGCTCACTAAACCAGTTTCATTGAGAGGGCTGATTATCTCTCCTCAGCACGGCCAACTCCATGAACTGAATGGTCACTGTCTTTATTTCTCTCCTCCTGACTGGAGACCTAATAATAGCTTCATTAATGCAGAAGTTTAATTTGGTTTACAATGGGTTAATGGCCCGAAGGTAGTCTATTGGCACCCGGGCAGGGGTAGTGCAGGGAGGAGCCTTTTTGAGAAGTGTTTTCAGGATGGGGTCAGCTGGGGTCAACCGAATGTCACCCAGAAGTGAACAAACATGTAATTGATGTTCGGACATCTCTGGCTGCCCCCCCCCCCCAAAAAAAAAACGCCTTGGAAAGCTGTTTAGTCTTTTGAACAGGGAAGCAGAAGAGTGGGCAGTCCTGGCTCTTAGAAAGCCTATCACGAAGGCCACCAAGCCCTGAATGCATGGCTGAAAAGGAGACTCAGACTGCTAACCAGAAAAGGGTTACGCTCTAATTTTTCTCTCTACAGCTTTAATGTTTCTGTTTCACTCTTGACGTGTAATTGCTCCCGCAACACAGGTTGAGGGGCAGGAACGTTGTCTGGGATGCTGGTGTTCTCCAGATAACCCCCTCTCCTGTGTGGTGGGAAGGGGTCTCTTTGTCCCTGATTTTCACGGATTTAAAGAAAATGCGGGCAAGTGTTGTAGGCCTTTTATCGGCCTGTGTTTGGATAGTAAAGCCCTCGTTCCGTCCTCTTTTCGGTTAGTTCCGGACAAACTTGCATCTGGGTGGTGTGCGCGGGAGTAAGGACGCAATAAATAAACCTTTAATTTGCAGCGACCTGACCGAGATCCTGCTCTGTGAAGTTTATGGTCCTCTGCACAGTTACATGTACACATCGAGTGCTTTGATTTGCAGACCAAGTTTTTGTCGTAATACGTTCCGGATGCTTCCGCTAAATTTCACTATTGTTAATATAAAATTCCGAGTGCAGGTTTTTTTTTTTAAAAAGCACCTGCATCTTTAGTAGCAGGTTTGTAACACTTTGTATGTTTACATTGACTTAATTCTACATATATCAGTCATAATCCTATTAGTCCTTGTTTCACGCTGGATCTAGAATAAGTATGTAGTGTAGCAAGTGGAATATCAGTCTGACCAACCATCCAATCCAAACATCACCTCATTTTTTTACCATGTGGGGCCCATCCTGGTATTGAACCTCATTTGAAACGTGTCTGCTCTGGTGATCAAAAGCTTGTCTTGTTCACACTGTGTTCTCAGAGGTTGAATTTCAGAAATTTCTTGTTAAATGTGCTGTGGATTTTTTATAACCTCTAAGTCGAGAAAGATGTAATTACTGGTTTATTCACTGTTATTAGATGCCTATGGAGAACCCCATATGCAGTAAGATATTAATTAAGATTCATAAATGTTCCATCCAGGGGGAGAGACCATTAAGAACATAAACCAGCAGTCTGGGGCCCATGTGGAGCTGCAGAGGAACCCGGCAGCCAACACCGACCCAAACGTGCGCATCTTCTCCATCAGGGGCACCCCTCAGCAAACGGAGCTGGCCCGACAGCTCATCGATGAGAAGATTGGAGTACGCTTTCTCTGCTCTCACTTTTCGTACTCGTTAGCAATACTCAATCATTGTTTCCCTATCCGGTCCTCAGGAACTCGCAGCCGATCCACGTTTTTGCTCCATCCTAGCTCCCTACCAGAGGGGAACTGGGAGGGAGCAAAAATGTGGCCTGTCTGTGGGTCCCGAGGACCAGATTGTGTAACGCTGCTCTAGATAGTTAGGCTACCCCTTTACATTAGTGAGCGATGGGGGTAGTGTGATGGTTGCCCTCTTTGGCCTGAGCCCCGCAGCCCTTCACTTGTTCACCTTCATCTCCAATCTCATGTCTTGTCAGGGGCCAGGAATTGGGGGAAGCAGCAGCTTTGGACTGAGCCCCTTCTCTCAAGGGCCAGGTACTCCTCACCAAAAGTAAGCATCATTTAGCATTTCCTGGTTTTCCACTAAAGGTCCCTTTTTAATGTGGCAGTGCTGCCCTTTCTAGTGCATTTCCACCCCTCCATTTTCAGAGGTGAATAGTTCAGGTCCAGAAAGTAAAAATCCAAACCAAGACTTTGTTTTAACCAACCATTTGAGAATAAAGGGTCACAGTCATAGAGTATTCAGCTGGTCGGTTGAAGCAAAATCTTGTTCTGGATTTTTATTTTCTGGATCTGAACTAGCTACTTCATAACCACATTTTCTTTGCACTTTCTTTCATTGCAGTGGACCTCAGACGTTTATGACTGGCGGATGGGGGTCAGCATACCAGGCGTGGCAGGCACAGGGCCAGCAAGACCCTAGTATGCATTACCTTCAGAGCTCACTCTTCAATTTAAGTGTCATGGAAGAAGTAAAGAATGTCTGTGTCCTTCCCTAAGCTCACCTGTGACTGTAGTGATGGGTTCGGATCGAATGCTAAAGCACTAAAAGTACGTGGGAGAGAGCTGTGACATTATGGTGCCTTTTTTAATACGCGACTCTTGCGCGTTTTTGGAGCTGAAGTGGCTGACCCAGGTTCACAAGGGCATCTAAGAGTGTATAGCAGCCTCCGACGAATAACGTGCCCCCTCAGTGGAAGTCAGTCAGTGCATGACTGCCACGTGATTATGGGGATCGCGCCCCCTCACTAATTTCAGACACAGCCTTAGAGATTTCATTGGGGACCTGGCATTGTGGAGAGGGCACCTTCTCACATGCTCTGAGGGCACCTTCTCACATGCTCTGAAATGCTGTCCTCCTGCCCCTGGAGCATGAAGACATGCCAGCGAAGGAGGAGCAACACAGGACTCCATGTACAGCTTTTCTTTTTCTGATCTTACTCTGTTTCTTTCAGGTCACAATGGATCCCAGACTGGACAGATGGATTATTCTAAAGCCTGGGAGCAGTATTACAAAAAGCTAGGCAAGTCTGGGGCTACTAACAGATGTCTAGGTCTCTGCATTTACCCATCATGGCCTCACGCTTTGCAGTCAGACTGCAGGTCCATGGCTTCTCGGGGGCCTTCAGATTGCTCTGAACATTTATAGGCCACCATATCAGTCACCTGCCCTGGCCCCCAGAGCTTAAGAACATCGAAGGCTGCATGACGACCTTCTTTCCCCGCCTCTGTCGTCCAGCCTGCCTCCCAGTGTGGGGAGATGCCGTCATGACCCACCTGTCAAATAAGGGCTTGACTTATGGCTGGCTTTGTTCCCGTATTCATGCAGATGCCTGCCCCCCCCTCGCCTTGCCCCACCCCGCCCCCCCAGGGCCTCACTCTAGTGCTCCATACATGGCTGGTGACCACCATGTTGCCAGCTGCTCTTCTTTTGAAGCTGCTTGCTCTTTTAATGCTGTAGGCCACCCTCTGGCGTGCGCTCCTGCACACACGCACACGCACGCGCATACACACTCACATACACTTACTCTGACACACACTCACACGTGCATGCATACACACACACACACTCTCACATACTCACACACGCACACCTACACACACCCAAAGCAGTTTCCTAAGAAGGGAACAGTGCTCTCAGGGCAGGCCCTGAACCTACTCTACTAAAGCATGCCTGAAGTCTCCTAAATCCTCCAAACCTTTTTCTTTTACTAATACCTTCTGAAACAAGCACTGCAAACATTTTCAAGATGTTTTTATGTACAAGAATGAAAGGGTACATGACAGTGAAACTTTCCAATTCATATATCACACATTTTTAACTGGTTAGGCTAGTGTCTGCCTGTACTTTGCTTTGAACGGTCACATGACCTGCTGTGATGCCCACACTGCAGGGGTACCTCCTAGTGGCGTGTCTGTGCGATCACTCTGCGCTTCCCTCCAGGAAGCTCCAGGTCATGCAGAATCACCGACCCCAGCATTCGGCCTGTTTGTTACGCACTAACATCTGTATTTGTGTCTGTCTAGGCCAGCAGAGCCCTGGTCCCGGCACCAGCCCTGACTACAGTAAGGTGTGGGAGGAGTACTACAAGAAGCATAGTAGGTCACTCGGGGCCGCAATCCAACACCCACCCCCGCCCCCTGGAGTGAAGGATAGCAGCGTGTCCCCAGCACGCCGGTTCATGTTCCCCACTGAGGCGTTGCAGCTGAGGGACGGCCTGCAGAATAGAGGCGGCGCCTGCTGAAAGAATTCAGAGCCCCCATCCCACCGTCATTAAAGCAGACATGCAGAATGGACTATCAACCCACACCAGCCCCATAAGCGAAAACACATTCTTGGAATTTTTTATGGGCCAGAATACTTATATAAATGGAGTATTTGTTTTTGTCACAATTGGTTAGCGTGTTTTGAGAGATGTACAATAAGTAAATAATTTCACTCCATTTTTCAATTAATGTACAACCCTGAAAAGTTGGTAAAGGGTGAAGGTGTCCGAATCCTTCCCGAGGCTCCCTATGCACTGTGAAGTCGGTAGAGTTCTGCCGTGTCTGGCTGGAGCTTTGCCGGTGTTTGACAGGAATGCTGCTGTCCTGTCCTGCGGAAATTTATAGTGTGTAAATCGGTGCCTGTGCAGTTCATAGGGGCTCTAAAGACAGGGAAAAGGCAACTGTTAGGCACTGCAAGGTACCAAGATGAGCTGACAGGATCAAACTGTGGGGCTTTTTCAGGCTTTATTTACATTTTTTTTTATAGAGATGAAAAAAAGACGTACATTCCAGTCCAGTGTTTTTTTTGTGTAATTATAGGTAAATAGGATGTTTCTAATTAGTGTACATGTATGTGTTTGCTTTCAGTTCAGTCTTGTCCATTTTCTGATCCTTTCCGTCAGGCCATGCTACAGCCAACGCCCCCCAGCAGAGTTCTACCCCAGACTACAGCGCAGCCTGGGCAGAATACTACCGACAGCAGGGGGCGTACTATGGGCAGAGCACCCAGCAGGCAGCCGGACCGGGCCTTCAGGTAAAACGAGCATCTGCCCACCTCCCTGAGAATGACACTATTCTGTCTGAATAATCTCTTTATAATCTAGGCCTTTACACAAAGGTGGAATGTTTTCTTGTTACTGCTTTTTGAAGCCTTGAAATTGTTTACTTAACGCAGGGGCTACTTTGTGAAGGATCAACCTTTTTGCCGATTTTCCTAATATTGATTTTCAGAAGTGCTCTCTGCCTACCACTAGTCAGCACTGCATCTAGTCAGCACTGCACCTAGTCAGCACTGCACCTAGTCAGCACTGCACCTACTGTAGTCTCCTGTCCTCCAGGATTTCATTTGTGTCTTGTCACCCCTGATTTTATTAATGTTCTTTTCTGGAATAGGTATAGGCCTAAATGCTCATATGATTTTAGAATATCAATTTAATCATCCACAAGCAGATCCTCTGACATGCAAAAGTGGCAGGAAAAATAATGAAATAAAGTGATAAAGTAACAAGCTGAAATGTCCTGTGAAAGAGCAAACTACCATAAACCACACAATACCCCCTTTTCCCCATGCTGGGTGGGTAGGCAAGGCACTGGGCACCATGCGTGCTGGTCACCCACACTGGGTGGGTAGGCAAGGCACTGGGCACCATGCGTGCTGATCACCCACACTGGGTGGGTAGGCAAGGCACTGGGCACCATGCGTGCTGATCACCCACACTGGGTGGGTA